TTAATGTTTTTAATTTATATAAGTGAGCAGCCAGGGAGAAAAAGGACTGTTTTTGATGCTGGGTCCAACGCACACACACACTCACACACGCATACACAGGTCTGGTTTGTGTGGTGGGTGTCGTATAGACTGGGTTGTGAAAGAGCAGAAAGAGAGGCTGTGTGTATGTGAGGATAGAGATCATGGAGGGACAAGGTGGAGTTTTGAAAAGACACAAAAAGAGAATGAAACAAAGACTGAGTGAAGTTAAAAAAAAGAGGTAAGAGTGAGAAATACTCAGAGTGAAGTGAGGATAAAGTAGAACTGGAGAAAAAATGAAAGATGGCAAGAAAAAATAAGTGAAGAGGGGCTCTAGGGCAGGAGAGCTAGAGCAGAGACAGAGAGATAAATGGGTTATAGAGGAAAGTAAAGGAGTAGGAAGTTGTCAAGAGAAAGGCGGGACAAAACCACAGGGAGAAAAGGAGAATTCAGCCAAAATGAAAAAAAGGACCTGAAGTTAAAAAAAAAAAAAAGATAATAATTAAAAAGATAAGAGATGATGAAAAGACCAGCTTTGGACAGTCTAATTGAAAAATCCAGCTTTTATATAGCAAACTATCTATCACATTGAATTTAAAATTCCCTATAAAAAAAAACAGATAAACAGGTTTTATCAGTGGGATTTAAATAGACGCCATGAACAGATTTATTCAGCAAACTAAGAATTTGAACTTACAACATGTCAGTTTCATCTTAATGCAGAACAAATAAATAAAATAAACTCCCCCTCCCTCTCCTTCAGGCTGTGTGTCATATAAATAAGAGATCATGTAAAGTAGTGTTGGAATGCCAGGAATGTAAGTGTAGTTTACTCTGATTCATTCATGAAACATCAGTAAAAGTATGTTCAGATTTGCACTAAAAGCCCTCATAAAACTCAGACCGGATTCACCAACCCTGCAGAAACATGGATTGTGGCCACTTTTTAATACAGAATTGTGCATCCTTCCACTCAGTTGAAGGTGTCCTTGGGCAAGACACTTGGAACCCACCTTGCTCCCAGTGTGTGTCCTCCACTGGTGTATGATCTGATTGTGGATAAAAAGCTGTTAGCATCTCTCCTTGCTGCTGCCCAGAACTGCACTGTGCACTCTTATCCTGAGAGATCTCATGTTTGTCTTTGTTTTGGAGACAATTTTATCATGATGTGACACAATTTTCATTGTTCATGGTGAAGTTTTCTCTCTGGAGAAGACTAGCAAGAGCAGCTTGTTGAAGATTAAAACAAACAAAATAAATTGGCTAAATATGGTCTTCACACACCTGGACATTTGCATAGAAAGTGGATATTGCTTCACAAGACTGCATGGTGGCTCTTTAAAATATGCACAAACAGCACCGATGCAAAGTGACGCTTTGTATTGGGCTGGTATTATGCAGTATGAACTGCTCAGACATTTCATCTCCCTTGAGTATGCTTTACAAATGGTGAGGTTACTTGCACGTGCAAGTTCATGAAAGTTCATGAAGCACTCTTGTCAATTAGCATAAATTTCCACCCATAAACAGCTAACCAACAGTAGAAATCCTCTGAAATTTAATGTTTAATGTTAAAACTCTGGATGCATCTCAAGCTTTAAAAACGCAGCCTATCAAAGAAAAGCTCTGAGACAGGTGAGGCTAGCCTGCAGGTTTTCATGTTAGCATTTCCCCCTCACAGACACATACAGCACGTACAGAAGTTAGATATTTATGTGTCCTGATCGCATTGTCTCTCTCTGTTCCCTCCCTCCACTAAACATGACCTGAAAATGCTAAATTCTGTTGTCCAATTTCCCAGTTCGTGTTCATGGTCAGTGTGTAAGAGAAATAAACAGAAAAGTTCTGAGTCTCTGCAGCATATACAAAAGCTCAAGGACAGCAAATGTCGTGTCAGTGTGTGTCTCAGCTAGCTCTACTCACCACCCCCTCACACTTTCCATTTCACAAAACAGATATTTCTGCTCAGTCCCTGCAGACATCTGAATAAGTCCGCTCTATTTGGAGTCCAAATCCATGTGAATTCTAATCATCCTCCCCGCACATCTAACATTTAGGATGTCAGGAGGTCCGCAGAGGTTACAGCTAGAGACAGCAGTCCTCTAAGCTCCCTGTGGTGAGAGCAAATCATCACATTAGGCTTGTTAGATTATATGTAAGACCCATGTTCGGCACGCTGCAGGCTACTGGCTTTCAAACTGAACTCTATTACTTGTGGAAAATAGGGGGAGTAAAGGTTCCAACACTCAGAATTCAGACCCCTCCAGGGACTGTCAAAGCACCCTGCATAGGGGCTACACAATCATAGAGATTACCTGAGGTTGGAGCCAGGAAACAGGTAAGACACGTGTTTGTTGAGGTCTTTCTTAAGGTCTATTTACAGAGAGGAAAGGTTTTGAAACTTTCCAGGGAAGCTCTTTACAGAGAAATATATTCTGGAGAAAACTGAATGGTGTTTACACAGAGATGCATTTTCAGAGAGCAAGCTTTTGTAACCACGTTCAGAAGGGAACCTTTAGAAATGTCGCCTCTTCATGGTCGTCATGCCACAGCCCCTGCACATGCCTGTTACATGATCGGTCAAACAGCCAAGACAGAGGACAACAACGACAATCGCAGGCTACTGATCTGTGATAGTGCTGCTGACCCTCCTGCAACATGACTGCCCCAGTCTTCTTCTTGTTCCCTTCTCCTGACTAATCCATCGAAGAAGAACAGATGTCGTGGTTCTTCAATGGTGTCTCGTTGCAAAGTCATACCACCATCTGTCATGGAATACATACGTTTCAGATGACTTTTTCAAAAGTTGCATGCAAAACAACCAATCAAAATCATCTTGCCTTTAAAGTGAGGAGTTAGGAGATGCAATCAAATGTTTTCACAAAGGTCTTTAGCTTTCTGAGGGCCTTTCAAACTCATCCTTCTAATCTAACATGAAGCAGAGAGCAGACACTCACATAACGTCTATGTCTCAACATTGATTTCAAACTGCTTAGAACAGAAGACTAACTGGTTATAAAACAGCATCACTAATTTAGGACCAAATCTGTTCTCAAAACGACATAATAGATCGATGCCAAAAAGACTTTAATAATAATTATTTAGAAAAAACAAATAAAAATAAAAAAGTTTTATTATTATTATTATTATTATTATTATTATTATTAATAATAATAATAATAATAATAATAATAATAATAATAATACATCAATTTATTTTCTGATTCTGATTATTGTCACAGTTCATCTGGTACTATTTAAACTATAAAAAGCTTAAAGAGGACCCTAAAGTTCAGTAAGTTTGCTCCTCAGGGATCAAAGTTTCTAGGACTGTTTGATTGAATCCAAACTGACTGTTCTTTAAAAATCTTTGATTATATTTCTGCTTTGACTGAGGATTTTCTTTGACAGTATTACCCGGCTCAGTTAGCTGAACCTCTTAGGACCTTACTCTTAAGCATATAGATTTAGTTTATTTCAGAGAAAACAGACAAAAAATGAGTTTATGTCACACTACAGTTAAAAAAGAAGCTTAAACAGGATTAACTTTGTGATGGGTCTTTACAACATTTTTATTCATTGGCTTTTAACCCTGCATGAGACTCGGCTCCTGTTTTAGTGTTCCATGGTTTGTTTTTAGTTATTTGTTTCTATGTTTTTAAATTAGTTTTTAAAAACATTGAAGCTATATTTTATTATTAATTCTGCTTTTATTTTATCCATTGTTTTAATTGTTTCTTGATTGTTTTTTATCTTGTTGTTTTGTCTGGTTATGTACAGCACTTTGTACAGCTGTGGTTGTTTTAAAGTGCTCTACAAATAAAGTTGAGTTGAGTTGAGTTGAGAATTACAGTGAGTGTAGGTGAGAGGGCAGAGGCTCTGTTTTACTAACAGCATTTCTTGATCCATCCCTTCATATTTTGTCCTCCATGTTCCCGATTTAATTCGGCAGATGTGTCCTGTTTTCTTTTATCTGTCACCAAATTAAGTTCAAGTTTAATTCAACACAGTCATCTACTTTTTTGCTTGTAAATTGCTCCTGAACAACAACTTATATGTGCTCCTTGAGTGTGCAGTCAGTTAAAATCCACACTTTTGGCTTGATGTTGATAAAGTGCCATGCCTAACCCCCAAATTACACTGTGTACGAAACAGCACCCCAGTGGAACACCAAATCCTACCAGATGCGTTAGTGAGGCAAATTTCAGACGGCGGGAATTGTGAGAACTCACAATAACCTGCGAATTTACTTTATTTCACGCAATGATGAGTTGTCTCTATAAAGACAGCCGCATCACCATTTAAGCAGTAGATTGTGTCCCTCCAGAAGAGGAAATCCATTCTGTCCTGAAACACGTGGTGTTTTATCTTGAAAAGAGGTCAGATGCTTTATTTTGTGTCTGTGTACGACTTCCTTTCCAGCACGGGCTAATCTGTGCCGAATTTATGTGGCCTGCTGTGGTGTCCAGAAAAAAAATAGAACCCTGGTGATCAGCTATGAAGCCTGCTGAACCGCAGCAGGACGGAAAGAAGCTAGTGCAGAGGTCGGCAACCCGCGGCTCTGGAGCCGCATGCGGCTCTTTCTTCCCTAAGCTGCGGCTCCCAATGGATTTGGAAAATAAATAATAAATACTTAATTGCATTTTATTTTATTTTATTATTATTATTATTTTTTTGTAATTCTAAATTCAAAGATTATAATGCTCTTGTAACATTAAATAAACTATTAAGGATGCAACAACGAATCGATTAAGTAGATTCGTCGTGACGAAAAAATCCGTTGCCAACAAATTCTGTAATCGATTCGTCGGGTCTTTATATATGTCCATGGACACCGGCGTGTAAACATCAGCAGGACGCACAGAAAAGAAACAGCCATGGCCGAGGCAGCGGCTGAGAAAAACATGGACACAACCCAACCCAAATCCCGACCTAAAACATCAGTGGTGTGGGAAAACTTTACCAAGACTGAAAAGGAAGGCGTTCAGTGCAACATTTGCAAAGACCGTTTTGCATGGCTCGGGAGTACATCGATGATGCGTGAGCACAGGGCTCTCAAGTCTCACGCATTCAGCGTATGACACACGCATTCCCACTCGTTCACACGCTCACACACCACACATTGTATTTCTCACGCATTTAAATGAACACGGTGATGTCCACCAAGTTGCACTTCTTCAACTATGGAACTGGGGGAAATCAACTGAGTTCCTCCGAGAGTTCAGAAGCTGCGTGCCACGCACAAGCCAATCAAATAAAGTATATCTACTGAACAGCCAATCAAAAAGCAGCATTGCTGTATCCGGGTAGATTTTGATATCTTGCGGTTTAACTACAGAAGAAGACAGACACTCGCCGAAATAGTTCATTTATTTCATAAATGCAACTCGCTACAGTTTTTTATATACTTTGTATAAAGGTTAAAAAAAAAGATATATGCAATGTTATCTTCATTTTAGATGTCAAAGAGGTTTTGTGGCTCCCTGTGTTTTCTTTTCAGTGGGAAACTGGTCCAAGTGGCTCTTTGAGTGTTTAAGGTTGCCGACCCCTGAGCTAGTGGAATGTGACACATTTACTTGAATGGAAACGATCAACAGCCTTTTCGCTGCTGTTCTGCATGCTGTGGAATTTGGGGATTACAATCTTATCAGGCACATTTGTTTTATATTTAGCTCAGACTTTAGTCAAATAATTCATCTATGTCTGATATTTTAGGCAGTGGTTATATTACCCAAAGTCAATTAAAACCTATACTGCATACTTGGTTTGTCATAAAAGCACCAAATCTTGGTGATCCAGAGATCTGATTACGAAATCTTGACAACTTCTCCAGGTTCAAGCCCAAAGACTGGAGCAAAATGATCAACCATCCTGTAGTCTAGTTTGTCAAAATTGGACAATCCCTTTGGGATCATGGACACCACATTATCAGCTCAGCAAGCTGGTGTGGCATTTCAAGCTTACTCTTCTGGGAAAGCTGAACAGTTTGGGAAAAACATATGCTCTCATCCAACTGTTGACTTTTTCGGTCATACAGTATTTCAGCAAAACAATGCCAAACCATATTCTACCTATATCACAACTCTGTAGTAGAAGAGTCCTGCTATTAAACAGCCTGCGGTTCTTATTTGCCACCTATTTGGTGCATTATGAAACCATTATGAAACCATTATGAAACCATTATGAAACCTGCCCCAACTATTCTAAAGTGTGTTTCTAGAACCAAATTTAAACAAGTATATATTTTGGCAGAACAATAAGTTTCCAGTTTTAACATTTGATGTACTGATTCACCTTTCTTGAGTCTGTTATTAACATTTGCACAGCAGGCCTGCCTTAAAGTAATAAAGTTTGTGATTATTTCACTCTCATTTGCCCTAAACTCTAAAAACAAGTATATTTTCATTGGGGAAAAGAAAGCTTAATTATGTGGCATGACTTTCCAAAGAAAGTTCTGGAGGCTCCAGACTGGGATGAAAAGCTTGGTAGGACGGGTGTGTTTTGCTGTGGAAGCTTCAAGAGATTTAAAGCCATTGTTTCTTTTGTGTCTGGCTCACTCTGCCTCTCAGTATAATCAAAAAACTTTGTGTTATTGTTGTTACAGGCTTTGGAGACATGTTCCTATACCCTCCAGCCCCCACCACCCTGTAACGAGCTTCACACTCATGGCAAGATCTGCCTCTTTGTTCCTCCTTTTCTTAACCTGCTTTGAATCAAAGGTGACGCAGCTTACTCCTGGAGGGATTAGTGGTGAGGTATATCCCTTTGTCAGCCGTGTTGAGTGTAAGATAAAGTTTGTGCATCCTCTGAGGGCTGTCCAATGATACTGCCTCTCATTCCCTTCACTTCCTCCAGCCTCATAAACACCTTTTCTCTCCTCTCCCCCTTCGTCACTCCATCTTTTCACTTCCAGCTGATGCCATTATGTATGCTGTTGGGAGTGTGCAGCACATTGCTGTGCCTCTGCCTCCTCTCTGCAAATATTTTGGCCTTTGAGCTGAGAGCGAGGAACCGTGCGGTGAGCAGATGAGGGGAACTAAGGAAAGAAAAGAGGGAGAGATCAGCCTGGTGAGTGGTGGTTTGGGGATGGAGTGGAGGGGACAAAAAAGAGACAGATGCAAGAAATCTTATTTTTAGGGTTTAGAATTGCTTAAAGGAGAGAAAGGGGAACAGAAAAGGGCAATCATCCCTCTTCCTTTGCTCTTTTGTAAGGTTTCCTGTGGATCACTCTGTGAGGCAGCAGGAGGAGTGATTGTCTGGGCTGTGAAGCATACAGCCAGCTCAGTCTACTCCCATATTTTAGTCCAGAGCAGCAGAGGTCTAGTACTTTGAAGTAAGAGTGCAGGGGAGTCTGTGCCCGTCTTCCAGAAAAATGGCGTCAGTCACAATGTTCTGATTCAACTTCCCTGAGTTGTAGTGAGTGTCCTTTTTACACCCACAGTGCCCTGATCCAGTTTTTGTGCTCCTTTGAAAGTGAGGTTTTGCTCCAAGTGTGGGAACTGAGGAACTCAGACTCAAGTCCAAAGGCCAGTACAAGCTGGTTTGAGTTTTGACTGTCATTGCTCCATCAGTACAGACCTTCCACCAAGACTCAGATCCATCAGCCAAGTCCCATAGCAGCAGAGACAAACAGAATGTAGGAGAGCTGGGATGTTAATGGCTGGCCTCAAAGGATTTCTACAAAACTCTAACTTTGGGGTTATGTCACTACAACAGACATGGTCTCAATGTGGTCACCTATTTGTTTGTGACGCAGAGTTTTGAGGCCTATCAGCAGCAGTTACTGAAAATGCTGACTCAACCCAGCTTTCCATCAACCTGCCAGAGGTGGGTCTTTAGCCTCCTCACAAATGGCTACAGTGTTCAAGGCTGCCAGTCAAGACAGCCAGAGCTCTGATTCGTTGATTTTGTAACCTTAATAATTCGGCCTAAAACCATTTGTCAAATCAGGTTGTAAACATGTTTATATTTGCTCTAAAAATAAGTGTGTTTGTGGCTTCTGGTGCTACTGCAGACACCTTGTAGTGGATACTCAGAAAATTAAAGTTTTTAACATTTCAGCATGGCCTTCATTTCTCAAGACCAAGAGGGTTTTCACCATAGACTTTATATTGAATGGACGCCGTCTGCCTCCTCGCTGGTAAAGCTACTCTGAGAACAACACCCTCTGGTGACGGGCTGCAGTATAGGTCATAAATCCCGCCCCTCCTCCTGCAATCCCTATGACACTGTGGACAAACTTTAGAAATTAATTCCACAGAATATAAATTCTTCTCCCCCCTGGTTGTGATGTTGACATGTAGTTATTGTAAGACTGGTTTGTGCTCAAGTCCTCTTTTTTTCTGTACAGCTACATTTTTAAAAGTTATTAGAGGGTTCATGTTTTCTATGATTGACACTTGATACAGCCTATGGGTGTACAAAGATTGTGTAGCTCACCCGGGGGATACACTGTTTGAGCCGAGCGTCATCACAGCGACTGTCCCACTGAATGTGTACAACGCTACTCTAAGTGGTGGTTCCAGGAAGTGGAGAAAATCCCAAAAATACCAAGAGCAATTTGGCTTCAAATTCATATAATGATGGAAGGCGGAGCCAAGTTATACAGTATATACGTATATGGTTTTCACAGATGCCAGTATGCAATAACTAAGGGGTTAGCAAATCATGCAAAGCTTCTCTGTAGGTGCCCAAGTCCTGCATAATGAAACGTGAACATGAGTTTTAGCTTCTTGAAAGTTTTCTAGGATACTGATCTGATCTGATTGATATGATTGGACGGTTCTAGAGAGACAGGAAACATTCTCAGGAAAGAGTTGAGAAGGCCACTTAATGGCAACGTTAGATTTGATTCTGTATGCAGGCACGGACTTAACCACAAAGCCTGATCTGCACTCAGATTTTACATGGACTCAAACTTGTGCATAACTATTGGACAAACTAAGACTAAGAAGGACTAATGTGAGCAGTGTTAATTTTTAATAGGACATGAGAGGCTGTACATCATCAGGACAGTTACTCCATCTCGAAGTCAAGTGAAAAATTATACTTTATCGATCTGATCTGAGCCAAATAAGCCCACTTTATCCAATAACTCCTGAGCTTGTAATAAAATAACTGAAAAGTGTTGCCTTTTACTAGCCGAAAGAAAAATAAAATGAAAAAAAAGAAAAATTAAAAAAGGGAATTCTCAAAGTCACCCTTATTTTTTGGTTGCAACAAGTTAGACACAAAGCAATGTGGAGACGTGTAGCCGAGGCCGGGTAGTACATTTAATTGGGCTCATTGGGACATTATAATCATGTCCCCTTGAAAATAAAATGAGGATATGACAAAAAACACATTATGCAGGGGGAAACAGATGCTGTCTTTAAGGAAAACAGTTGTAAATTTCACCTCAAAGCCTATTTTGTTTTGCAGAAAAACAAATCTCTCGTCACAGCGTCTTTTTTATGTTAAGTGTAATTTGGGATTTGTCAAGGTTGCAGTTCCTAAATATGAAACACAGAATAAAAGGTTTGAAACCAACAATACCCTAGATATGATAATGACAATGAGTCGTGTGACTCTAAAGACTGTGTTTCAAACACTACATACAAATAAAGTCAACCTTCAACATGAGACATCACAAGCTCAGGTCCTTTAGAGCCATAAGAATGATCAAACAATTATTCTAATATCTGTAACAGTGATAATAACGAACATTTTTTCAATTTTCTTCATTAGATAGCACAGCAGAAGAGGGGCAGCAATTGTGGGGGCCGGTGTGCAGCAAGGGCAGAGAGCAGGAGTCAAACTGGTGACCATCACCATGAGGACTACATCCGCAGTGCAGGAGGTACACTCACCTGAGGCAATCAGTACTGTACCCAGACTTCCAATGACCCCGCAAGTCTAGTTTGTTTGGCCAGTAGGACTGCAATGAACAGGACCTCAGTAGGGTATTCTTCCTGTCTGTATCACAGTTGGATGACATGGACTTAGCTCATGCATATGCTAAAGTATGGTGCAACACAGCACCTGTTTTGTTTTTTAGCAGATCATATCCACACAGTTGTACAGAAAAAAAGGGGGAAAAAAATAACAGACAAACTTCACCCTTTGAAAAAAAACAAGAGAGAGGGTAAAAAGATAACTCTCACACTGGCGGAGAAGAAACTAATGATTAATAAGGGCATAATGTGCACAGGGAATCAGCTAATCAGTGTAACAGTTTCTTACAAGCTCATTGGGGGTGAAGTTAAGCGACATTTATACCACCCTGACTTAGAGGAGGAAAAAAAGAGGGCTCCACCAACTGTTCTGGCTATAAAGATGGATAGAAACGACAGATAAGCATTGAAAATTAACGCTTTTTCTCTGTATCTCACAGGACATTTTACAGTATGACCAATGCATCCTATAATAACAAATAAAACATACAGCAGGATGATGAGAAAGCTCCATAACCCTTAATGCTGCTGAATGATTAAGCATCTCTCTTCCTCTCTATTTTGCACCCCTAAGCCGCTAGCGGCCAACATCCCGACTTGTAAAAGACATTTTAGAAATCTGCCATGTAAAAAATGGGATAAAGTTAAGTTCAATAAAAACCTCCATTAATATTGACACATGCAGCCCACCTGGCTGGGTTCGGAAATTTCTCGGACTGTGGGGCATGTTTGAGGGGAATTTAAATCAACATTTACATGACCTGAATGCCTTTGTTCAATGAAAATAGGGAATCATTAAAAGCTGAGGACATTTTCAGCACACCATCATTTGAAAAGTTCTAACGTTGACCCTCACTCACTATTCTTGAAAAGATTAGTTTGATCCATGTCCACACCAAAACTAAAAAAGATGTTCAAGGTTCACATAGTTCAAGACATGTTTAATTCAACCTTATGTGACTTTGCTCATGTTACGCCTCTTGACCACAGTGGTCTATAGAGAGTATCAAGAAAGGACCCTTGACATGGTAGCATGAGGTCAAACAAGACAGAAAGAGGAAGAGAAAGAGTGAGTGTGTGGATGTCTTTCTTGCTAACCCAATTTCCGTTCTATATAGAGAATCAAGGAAATGGGAAATGACCTCCAGTTACGCTGACATGTCATTAGTCTGACACTCATGGACAGCCCATTAGACCAGAACGTTGGAGATCTGTAACTTGGAAAAAAATGCATTTTTAGAGGATAATTAATTAAATTAATTTTTAAAGGTAATTAATGCAGCTAACTACCAGCTGCACACTTTTCTTTGAAATTACAACAACCGCAAAATGATTGACAATAATAAATCTGGATTTTCTTTGAGTAACAAATTAAAGTAATTCCACAGCCTCCTCTCCATTTATGGTGAGATTGCAAACATCAAATGCTTTACTCACCCATTGTCCAGTAAGTGAGTTAAAGGGGCAATCTGCAATGAAATACACAAGAAAAATGTTTATATGTATAAAGTTATAGATTGATCACATGCTTTCTGTACTTTGGCCTCCACTGACTCCTCAAAGATTTGGCAAGTACATTCAAGAGAGCTTCTTGGATCACAGCAATGCATTCACAATAGTATACCAAAAAGTTACCTTTAAAGATGTTTCACAGTGGGTGCACAGATGGCCCAGTGGGTGCCCCATGTTGGAGACTGTGTTCCCCGCAGTGGTCATGGGTGTGATTCTGGCCCGATCTTTCTGACTTTAAACAAAGCCCTTCTCCGCCTCCCCAAACCTGATTGGTTGTGAGGCGGACGCTACTCCTTACTGCTGATTGGTTGTGAGGCAGACGCTGCTCCCTCGTGTTGTGAGGCACGCTTTACATCATTGAATAACGTATACAAGCCCAAACAAAGCTAGTGTGCTACAATAACTGGCAGTAGAAACCAACCAGAAAGTACGGAAAACACAAGCAAGAAAACAAAGTAAATATCAGAGACTGTGGCAGAATAACGGGCGCATATGATGAAGGTAGACCGTACAACAGGTAAGAAGCTGGGTCAACATCAGCATAAATGATGGGGGATGCTTTAGAATCTTACAGACCCTGTAACTTTTCTGTTGGACAGGTAAACCGCCTAACAAAGTAAACCAAGTGTCTGTAGCAGAACTGTTTCTTGTCAAACTGGACCTGCTGTGTGTTGTAGCGCCGCTAAACTGTTTCCCTCAGGTCCTGGAGTATGTCACTTTATGCTAGTTGTAGAAGTCCTGCAAACATTGTGTTTGCTGGTAGTCTGTTGGCATCTACAGTAGCACCAATGCTATTTCCTTTCACGTTGACTGGGCCCCATTTGTAATTAGCTGACGTATTTATCTCCATAATTGTCGGAATTTAATTGGAACAATACGAGCAAGCAGGAGTGTCTGATTGTGGGCGGGGCTTGCTGGAGCAGAGACAGAGGGGAGAGGAGGAGCTGAGGGGAAAACTGTTTGGGAGGGGTAGTGTTTACATTTAGGATTTCTCCAAAAAACAGGCACGTCCTCAGATCCTGACTACCCCACTTTTAATCTCACATAGTTAGCAGTTTGAATACAAAATCACACAACTCTTTTATTTGGAAGTTGGCCCACGGTCCAAAATTTTATACTTATGTTTGGCATCTTTTTCACATACATATTCATGCAAAAAAATCTCCACTGTGTATGTGTTTCTGCTTAGGAGTATTTTTAACTTTAACAAATGATAAGCAATGTTTCAAAGTTTGGGCCCACATTTGTCAAAACTTCAGCCATTATTATAACCCTGCACATAAGGGATCAAACCTGCTACTGTCTAATTATGGGACTGCTTCCCTAACCACCAGGCTAATCTGATGGCTGATGCATTAAACATGGCCAGCAAGTCTGAAAATGAATGTAACAGAGGTACTGGAAGAAAGTTTGAGCGCTCATTTCCGAGACAGTTTGGACTCTTTCCACATGCCTGCAAATGTCTGTGAGTGTGTGTGAGCATATGGGAGCAAGTCTAGGCTACTAAAGGTTATATTTACCATTTGTCTGGGTTTGGAGAGAGCCAGGAGGCAACTGGGGACAACAGTGAGGACCACCAGAATTCTGATGAAGATCCTGGATGATCAGACACACATACACAACAAGAAAGGGTGTTTATGGGGATCTAGTCAAATGCCATGGCTGCAGATATCCAACTGTGAATATATGGGGTTCGGAGGAATGGTAAGAATTGGGAATAGATGGGAGTGAAAGGTGGATAAGTCAAATAGAGATGAGTTTTACATCATTTAAATTATGATACAGACCTAAGTCCTTGTTTAGCCCAAAAATGCAGCTGGTCAACACTGGTAATCTCTACAGACTCTCTGTCATCATGTTTACGCTGTTGATTTTTTAATCACACAAACACATACAGTTAACTAACCCCTGCCTCCTCCTGCTCCTCTCCCTGCTCACCTCTCTCCTCCTCCTGCTCCTCTTTCTGCTCTCCTCCTCCTGCTCCTCTCCTCTCTCCACATCCCGCTCCTCTCCCTGCTCTCCTCTCTCCCCCTGCTTATCTCCTCTCGCCTCCTCCTGCCTCTCTCCCTGCTCTCCTCTTGCCACCTGCTCCTCTTGCTGCTCTCGTCCAAACACAGTCTGAGCTGACAGTGATGCAGTTAAACTGAGAGCTGTTTGAGAGGAGGGGTGGTGCCCATATTTTGCAATAAAGGACCAAAGAGAGGGTGCGCCTCATTATTTGAACTGTACAGATGCAGGTGTAACTGTTCATATTTTTATGATCATGAGGAGCCATCATTGTAATACTCATTAATCTCCCAGCCTTGCCTTCATGTAACAGTTGCATGGACAGATTTCAGGATCATAAAAGACATCGGTTGGATATCTCTGTTGTGTCTGAAAGGCAGCTTCCTAATGGTGACTTCACTTCAAGGCTTTCTATCAAGAAGCCATTATCAATTAATGAACTCCAGTGTCATCCCACCGTATCAAACTGTGATAAAAAGCCTTTTTATTTTCCACATCATACTAACACATTCACATGAACTTCTAGTGCAAAGCTCCGAAACCTAATGCAGATTTTATCATGACTGAATTCAATTTCCCATCTCAAATTAAAACCCTTCCCAGGCCTAATCACTCTGAAATTGATAGCAAGAGTGGGGGACACTGTGTGCTTTCCCTCACTCATGTACTGTTTTTTTTCCCCCTTGCTGTAATGTGAACTTAAAAATGAAAAAAGACAAATGTGTGTGTGTGTGTGTGTGTGTGTGTGTGTGTGTGTGGGGGGGGGGGGACAGAGAGAGAGAGAGAAAGGAGGAGGAGGAGAAAGAGGGGGATGTGGAGGAGCCAGAGCCTTATTAGCTCTCCTGAAGATTAAAGGCAGAGAAGCAGAGTGTTTGGCCGTGGCTATAGTCAATTAAAAATCTGCCATGGAGGAGAAGGGGGTGGCAGAGCTGAGCAAATAAGGCAGAGAAGGATTAGCTGAAATGACAAAGTCAGAGGGCTGATCAGCAGACAGGTAGATGTCCTGCTCCTACTCAGGACTCATCTGGACAGGAGTTCTTATAAGCACAGTATCATGATCATCCCTCACAGCTCCGTTTATAAGCCCTGCTGTAGAGCTCATTGTGTTTTTAAGCAGGCTGACGCAATACAAGTTTAAAGTCAGAGTTTGTGGTGGTTTCTGTACTGTAGTTGATTAAAGACAATTAATGACAGGGTGTCGGAATCAAACATCCCAGGGACACCTGAACCATTGAATCAGCTGTAGTAATTAGTCCCCTATTCAGTCTTCAAATCTGCATTGAATCAACTAAAACGGGGAAAACACATCTGCCAGTGAGGCAAATAATCTTATCTCCATTAAGATCAACTCAGAAAGACATGAATCTTTAAAGCTTGAATTTGGTGCCTGTACCTGTCAATATTACTAATCCATTCACACACCACTGGATGTAGCCAAGTGGTGCAGTTTGGGGTTAAGTGTCTTGTCCGAAGGCACTTGCACATATACACAGGGGTACCTGGGATTGAACCTCGACCTTTGGATTGAGAGACAACCAACTCTATTACCGAGCCACAACCACCCCATGAAGCAGCCTTTCTATATAGAGGGGAAGCTAACATGGGTGTTATTAACTGTAGAGTATGGAGTTGCTGTGTGTAAGGCCTGTCCCTGCAAAGCTTGCAGAGAGCAAAGGAACAGAAGAGAGAAACTGCAGCTCAGCAGGATGAAAGAACAACATAAGTGACTATTTTAGTAGAAAATATGGAAAACAAAATATGGGAAATATGCCTGCATTCTGTTTTATTCTGTTTCATTTTATTGTACAATTTTTTTTTTTTTTTTTGTTGTTTCCTTACTGAACCAAAAACATAACAAACTTTAGCTTTTGTGTACTGTTACACCCTAAAGCACCATCTCTCATGCTAACATGTTTGCTTGAGGCTACACTCCTTACTTTTGAACTGATCATGAGTGATCACTTGCTGGGTGTGGACACTGGCACACTCTCTAAAACTCATCATTGTTGTGTTGTGTCACCAGTGCAGTGAAACAAGTCTTCTTCTGTACTTATGTTCACTGACACATTTATCAAAGCAGGACTCAGGAAAGAGCCCCGCTGGCTGACCTGAGAGCACTGATGATCATTAATTCAGGGTGTGTTTCTCTGGTTACTTTGGACGTCAAGCACACTCACATCTGGTTGAACTCAAGCCATTATATACAAATCTGATGAAGTGGTGATTAATCACACTGAGTGTTACAATAACATCTGTCTCTTAGTCAGCTGGTTTAATTACATGAGTCATGGTGTGAGCGAGTGTACCTGGAATATGGTTATTAACATCAATCTTTGAGTGACCTTATTACCTTCAGCATGATTTTACTCCACAGTCTGCTCTGTTCTGGTTGTTTTTCCACATGTGATCACTTCGTTACTTTAGAGTTTAATATCTTCAGTGTTACTTCCCAAAGTTCAGCTAGAATTAAAGTGGGTGTCTGATAAGAATAAAGTTCTATGAACAGATCTATTTGCAGGTGTTTTAACACCTTTAGAAAGATTGAAGTAAACATAAGCCAAATACACAACTCAAACCTCTCATCTCCTGAATTTTGATGGTGTAGCAGTTAGCAAACAGATGCTGTTTTAATGTGGCATATTGCCACACACATTTGGAGGACTCTGCAGAATTACAAGCTTATGAGTTTGTTACCATCTGAGTTTCCTGGATCAATGTGACACCGCATGTTGGATTTTTTTATTCATGTAAGTGATTTTTTTCCAATGTTTTATGTACCATTTATTAATTCTTATGTCTCCTTTTTTAGTAACTTTATCAAAAGCTGTGTGGTTACTGAAACACCTAAGACAGTGAAGGTATGTAGTGTTACACTGCTGATTAATTAGGACACTGATATCATGACACATTTTTGTACTTTCTACAAACCTGAGAGCACAAAAAACGAATTTTGACTAATTCATCACTATTAGCCTTCCTTTTGTAACCCAATGGCACTGATTTATGCTTTTCTTGACCTAAAAAGTTTCAGATAATTGTACTCAATTCTTTTTACCAATTAACATCCAGACACTGCCAGGAGTTATTAAAGTGTGACAGGATGAAACAAATTAGTAGGAAAATCTGTTTGAAGATGGAACTGCACGATTAATCATGTTTCAATTTCAAGTATGATTCGAGCTCATTTTACCTTATACCTTATAAGGATATAAGCTTAGTGTATCCTGAGAGAGGTGTGAAGAAGTTGTCAATGATGATCCCAGAAAGCGGAAGAATTGATCAACTGTTGAAATCGAGGTAGTTGTGCCAGAGGTTCAGAAAAAGAGATCTATGCTCTTATGGTGTGGACAGGAGTCACAGTGATAAAAAGGCCTGGGCCTCTATCACAGAGGCTGTGAATGTTGCTGTGTCCCAAAAAAGGTTGCCACTGTGGCTCAGGTTAAGAGAAAACAGTTCAACATTCAAATAGAGGACAAAAGAAGAAAAGATGAAGAGAAATGGAACAAGGACGAGGACCACCTGTTCTTCCAGCACCAGAAGAGAAAATGGCTGCAATTATTGGATATTTGTCTAGCTATCGACTGTTCTTTTTAATAAACAAGTAAAATCCAATTAAACAGAAAAAATAAAAAATAAAACATTTTATTCTGATGCAAAAAGGCACTTGCTTGGTCCAGAGGGCAAAGGACATGTGCTTTGAATGCACACCAGAAACTGGCAGCACCATAATCTTATATACAACAAAATGATACGACATGTGAAAATGGTCAGAATGAGCCAGAACAGTCAATAAGGCAGAGAATGAAAAATAGGAATTAGGCCTGTACCGCTGAAGATGTTATGAGTATGTTGTGTTCAGAGTTTTTTTCAAGGTGTCAAGGTGTATTTGAAACCCATTTATTGCTGTGAAGCTTCATTGGACTGCATAAGTGTGCAAGTGAACATGATAAATCACAAATACCTGTTATACTTTTTTTTTTTTTTTTAAATTAACCACAGGTTCAATAACGATCATAGGGATGTGAAGAAATATGTTTTAGTAGAGGGCCACCAATCTGAATCTGTGCAGAAATTAAGGTTATTAAAATCCAGGGTCCCCACATGGACCTGAAAACAGGCACAGCACAACACACACAGCATGCTGCATTGATTCGAAAGGGAATGTATTTGCTGTAAAGCATGTGACACTGATGGAACACATCCTATACACATCTATTGGGTGAACACTGCACTCTGGCAGGTAAACCAAGCTTACCCCCTTTGTAATAAAAGATCAGTATGTTTGTGCTCAGACCTGTGAGACATCTGCATTTGTATTTCTACCTGCATTACTTCTTGTAAACTGGGCCCTCCATTAGATTTCAAAGCCGCTGTAATGTGAGACTTTACTGCACATTATGCCGCAGTGAACACTCTGTGAGCTGTTTGCATTGATGTTGAGCTCTCATTCTTCATCTCTACTGAAACAGCCATAAACAACAGCAAACATTTAGTCCCATCTGCTCACAGTTGCTCAGCAGCCAACAGAAAGAAACTTTGTGTGCCCAATTCCCCGGTGAGACACTTTCAGTTTTCTCTGCTGCAAAACAAACTTGCATATTCAGCAGGAACACAGCAACATGGATCAGGTAACCTTTCCTGTTGTTGTAATGAAGCTTCTCAAATCCTATTTCACAAAGCGCCTGAAGGTGTGTTTTTGTGTATCAGGCAGGAGTATTCCCTTCACCAGTAATGGATTACCCAGTTATGCTAAGCTCTGCATGTGCCCTGCAGGGTTTCCCCTTTAAGATCTCTGTTTAACAAGACAACAGTGTTTAATGAAGGTGAAGGGTTCAATGTCGTCTTAATGTGCATCACCCGCAGGCTTCGCCATCGGGGGGGTTTCCGAATGCTGCAGAAAACTGGCATCATATTGTTGAAGAGGAAATCTCGTATCTCCAGGAAAGCCTGTTTTTATCATGTGCATGTTGGAAATCTCATTGCTTCTCCTCTACAGCATAATTTACTTCATAGTACCTCTTAAATATGTTATCAATATTTGCTCACTTCCACGGTCATGAAGGGCTATCAGCTTCAGGGAAACAGAAATGAGGTAGATATTCTATTAAAGGTGGCCGTATTTAGCTGAGGAGAATACAGCCATCAAATAAAAAAAGGCTCCCAGCTTTTCAATATATAATGCTCAACTTTGCTAAGCACTTTAGCAGAAATGACTGCTGCTGATTCAGAGAGATGATATTTGTGTGCGAGTCTGAGTGAGTGTCAGCGTGCTGGTGTTTGTGTATCTGGGCCAATTGGGTTTTAGCTGCTTTCCAATGCTGATCCCCACCTGAGTAATGATTTTCTTAATGCATGTTAAAGCCACAGGTCTCCAACAAATTATCCACAGTCGGCACAAACAAACACAATGCCCTAACAAGTCAGCAGCTGAATGGCTATAAATCAGCTCTTTTTTATATGCAGAGCATTACAGAAGCTGCTTATCATCCTAAAGTAGCACACAGACAAAAATGCAATTAAAGCAGACTGGTACAAAAACAGCTGATATATGGACTAACAACTGTGTTAGCATTAAAGGTAAATAAATCAAAAACAGGGTGTCTGGATTTTTTCAGACTTGGCAGCATTCATAAGAATGGGATCCAATCATGACACATTTCACTAAATTCATTATAAAGAGCCTTTAGGTATGTCTTTAATGACTCAAGCTATCACTGACAGCCTGAAAATGTACTCACATCAGATTTAATTTTCTACCAACAAGTGTTTTTATGAACTGTACCAAGAATTTTAGCCTCTACCTGTATTCATGACGTGTTAAGAGTCAGATCAGCAGTAATCAGGAGAAGAGGACACGGGTTTAGATCAGATGACTAGTATCAATACTTCAATGGTTTACAGGGCGTATAAAGTCTGTATGTACAATAAGAGAGCAAATTGAGACTGGACTCTACTTATGTCTCTGCTGTTGAACTCTTTTTGTGATGTTGCTTCTTAATTTATAATTTTACAGCTACACAAAAAGGATTAATTATGTCACATTTTTCCTTAAAGTGTTTTTTTTTTGTAAGGATACAATTTATTAGATGCTTATTTTAATTAATAACATTCAGTTATTACTCAGTTATGGTTACGTTATCTACAAGTTGAAGTCCTGGCTGTCAGCATTAATGCAGTAACTGTGATGCAGTGAGTCTTTTTGCCACTGCAGTATCTCTCTGCCTTACACTGCCGCCATGATGGAAAATTACATGCACTTTAGAGTTGCACATTTTGCTGAGTTGTAAAGTCTAAAGTAATATGTACTTTGGGTCAAATGATGTAAGGGTAATCACAAAAGTACTTTAAATGTGATATACTGCCATCAAGCTAAGCATGAAGCGGCTGCTGGTTAGCTGAATGTCATCACAAAGTCTCACCACGGACCTGTGGATGACAGTTGATCAAAGAAGTTAACTACAGCACTTTGCTAAAGAGGGGGCAACTGAATGCAGACCAGCTGACATTTTTCAAAATTAAGGTTAGTGGACATTCTCAGGTTGGCATGACTTGACCAATCAAAGGCCAGAGTTGCCTTGAAAGTTAGAAAAAAAAGGAAAAAGATAAATCATTAAATGAATTAATAAATAAATCGTGACTTTATCCACAGAGTAATCACTCTGAGGCTATTTCTTACCTCTAATTATGGTTTCTGGCCATACTGATGCCATGTTCGTTTGACTAAAACCCATGGCGCCCAAGCTTTCTCGGCTGTAGCTGTGGCTGTGGAACAAATTGCCACTCGAGATCAAAACATCACACACTCTTTCTTCTTTAAAATCACGTCTTATTATTTGACTTTAAGCTCAGCATGAGAGTTATGTGATCTCTGTCCTTTTATGTCTTTTTGTGGACCTTTTATCACTTTTATTTCTTCTGTGCTTATGTGTGTTTTTGTTTTATTTTATTTTATTTATTTCCTCGTGATATTTTCTGCAGTGTTTTTTCTTTTAAACTTTACTGTGCAGCACTTTGGCAAACTTAATTGTTTTTTAAAATGCCCTATACAAATAAATCAGATTGGATTGGATTGGACTAATGAATAAAGTTAAAAAAAATAATAATAAAAGGATACAACTAGCCTTTTTTTATTTGATTCTGGTAAAAACTGCTTTATTTTTCTTAAACTGAGATTCTCTTTTGAGAAATAAACTAATGGATTTTCAAAAATATCATTAAGAATGTGACAAATCAGGATTGATTGTGGTTCAAATAATGAAATGTATGAAAGTCCCATGACAAACTAGTTGGTGACTTCAAGAGGGGTATTTTCATCAGTGCCTGTGGTGTGGGCCAGAACCTCTGGTAGTAAAAATGCAGAATGGGCCTGTCATCTCTTTAAAACATAAAATATTTTTTTTTGGATCTGATTGCGTAACTGTTCAAAACAAATGAGCAAAGTCATTGTGGCATCGGCCAA